ACTCAGGAAGAGGAATCTTCTTGATTCCAGGTGCAGCACTCACTGTGCCAACATGCTGGCAGGGACCTCAAGTTATCTAGTATATTTGAAATATTTTGAAAATATTAAAGCTTTTGATGTATGCAACTTAGTAGTAGTAGTAGTAGTAGTAATATTGGTTTGTAATTATTATTATGACAGATGAGAAAATTGTGGCCCAGAAATAGATTTCCTCAAGGTTATATCAGCATTAAGCCTCAGAAGGAGGATGTAACTGAGGCTTCCTGGCTCTTAGCGTTGCTCACATTTTCGCTGAGTTACACAAGGATTCAGAGTTCAGGTTAGATAAGACAAAGAATATACACAAAAAGGTATAATATGAAGTATAAAGAGGAAGTGTGCTATAGAAGACAGAGTGCTGAGCTTGAAGGAGGATTGACTGCCTTGACATAAATCCTGGCTCTCCTATTTACTGGCTGCACTGTGGAGAGTGCCTGTGGCCTCACCTTAGGAAGAGCTGAGTTCAAATGCGGATTGATAATTACTAGTCCTAACACTGAGCAAGTCATTAATTTCTGTGTCTCACTTTCCCTGTCTTGAAAATGGAAATAATTGTACCCCCAACTTGCAGTGTTGTTATAGGGATCAAAAAGATAAGAATTGTAAAGCACTTAGCACCATGCCTAACACATAGCAAGTGTTATATAAATGGCTATATATTATTATTATTAATTCACTAAAATACTGTGTATCTTAGGCAACTCTCTAGAACTTACCTACTAAGTAATAGATGGGCTATCAGTGTTCATAGAAGGAATTTCTATACTGGAAATTATTAAATTTGTTTTTAAATTAAAATGTTAAAAGTGTTTAAAAATACAGGCTCTTTTCATGTTCAATATGAAATGCAAACAAAAATGCTATAGGACCTTTTGAAAAGAGAAGTGAGTTCTGGCTGAGATAACTAGGAATGAGTCCTTCACACAGGAGGTGGGCATTTGAGTTGAGACTTGAAGGAGAGAAGAATTTGGAGAGGGGGAGCTGAAAGTAAATGGAGTAACTGTGAATACAGGTATAGAAATGAGAACTTGTGAGATATGTTTGGGCTAGTTATTATTTCAGAACAGGGAGTTATTATTTCAGAATAACAGGTAACCAGCCAGTTCTTTAGTGATTTCCTTAGGCCTTGCCCTTTTTGAGGACAGGATAACACATGTCAAATGTTTAGGCCAATTACAAGTGACAGTAGTGGAGGAGAGATGACAGTCCCTATCTGAAGGAAGAGATGATCTAAATTAGCACCAAAGTAAACATAAGCCAACCTGAGCAGTATCAGAATTTCTTCAGATTTCCAAAATTCAGATGTTTAGACAAGAGGAAGAAATGGTTGTAGGAGCAGAGATTCAGACTGAGGTGTCAGGAAGTAAAATAAAAGGTTTGTGAGAGAAGCTATCCATATATCTCATTCCCTAAAATAATATATTACTTTTATTGCTCCTGTTTGTTTTCCCATTCCTGCCTTGCAACAGTGTGCTAATGTAGTCTTAACCCAGAGTCCAGTGTACCCTTACCTGATTTAACTGAACTAGGTTGAACTTAGACATCATTTCTTCCTTCAGGGAGTTGAATGCCATTGTTTAATGGGAGGTCATTGATGGAGGATCTTTAAGAATTCTAAAGCTTTCAAATTATTCACTAGCTTTCTATTCTTTTCCTTGTGTACTTGCCCTAGTGAGTAGATAAGGTATTGGAAGAGGTCTCATTGTTTCTATAAATCAGTTTCCTGAACAATTATCTCTGGGTGTCATTGGTAATATACAGAAATTCTGATGATTTATGTGAGTTTATTCTATATAATAAAACCTTGCTAAAGTTGTTGTTTTAATTAATTTTAGTTGACTCTCTAGGGTTTTCTTTCCTTTTTGTTTTTTTTCAAAGACAATCAGAGTTAAGTGATTTGTACAGGGTCTCATAGGGTCACACACAGGATAAGTGTCTGTGGCCAGGTTTAAACTCAGGTCCTCCTGACTCTAGGGCCAGTGCTCTATTCACTATGCCATCCAACTACCCCAAGGAAAGCTTATCATTTCATCTGCAAAAAAACTCCTATACATCCATTTCCTTTTTCCTCATGTTTATTCCCTGAATTTCTTTTTTATTTTCTTATCTCTATAGCTAATATTTTTGGCACTGTACAAAATAATAATAATAATGGGCAGACACTTTTGCTTAACCCTCGATCTTATTGGAAAGGCTTCTAGTTTATCCCTAATATATATAATCACAGCATCCACATATGGAACCATTGGTTAGAGCAAATGGAGAAGTTTTGAATGCTGTAGATAAATTCACTTACCTTGGCATTACACTTTCCGGAGATGTCCACATCAATTATGAGTTTGACATATACATTGCTAGAGCTTGCTCTGAAAGAAAGTGTGGGAGAAAAGTATTAAGCTGTATATCAAACTGAAGGTCTACAGAGCCCTTGTGCTGACTTCATTGTTGTATCCCTATGAAACCTGGACAATCTACCAGTGCCATGCCAGAAAATTGAACACTTCCATTTGAACTGTCTTGGGAAAATTCTGAAGAGTACCTGGTAAGATAAGGTACCAGACACTGAGGTCTTCTCTTGGGGTGAACTTGCAAGCATTTAAACTCCACTACAGAGAGTGCAACTCCAATAACTTGGCAACATAGCCCAAATGCAAAATATACATTTACCTAAAAAGAGAACTTGCACAAGGCAAGTAGTCACACAGAGGTCAGGAGAAGCAGTGCAAGAACACTCTCAAGGTTTCTCTGAAGAACTTTAGCACTGATTGTGAGCCATGGGACCCATCCATCATGGTGTGCCTGCATGAAAGAAGGTACAGTCCTCTCCAGGCAAAGCTGAATTACAATAGCACAAGGGAAATTTGAGATGCACAAATCAAGAGATGATGTTCGAATAGACTATTTGTGCCTAACCTGTGGTAGAGCCTTCTAAGCTTATGTTGAACTGAATAGCCACAGTTGAACACACTGCATTTGACTCCAACATCATGGTTCCTCTTTGAGTACAAAGGACAAACAAAAACAATGTTCATAATGTTGGCCTTTGGTTTTAGATCAATATCAATTTCCATGCTAAGGAAAGGTATGTTTGTTTCCATAATTCCTACTGCATTTTTTTAGCAGAAATGGATATTGTATTTTGTGAAAATATAAACAGATTATTGTTGTTCTTATTATTTATATATGTTAGTCAACTATCATTTATTAAGCACTTACTATGTGTCAAGCAACTTGCTAAACCCTAGGAACACTAATATAGTTAGAAATAAAAGTAGTCTCTTCTTCAAAAACCTTATATTCTATTGAGGGAAGACACAAAAGGAAAGTGAAAGGGAGAGCTTGTAAATGTCTTTGGCATGCTAGAGAAATGCAGAATATAGATTGGGCTGCTTCCTAAATGGAGGTTCTTTTGATAGCTCCTTAAGTGGAAAGAGCTATCCAATCAGAGGGAGAGGTCACAAGGGCAAAGGGTACTTCCATTGTATGAATTCTAGAACTTTATGATGAAGAAGAGCTTGAGCTTGAGAGAGGAAGTTCAGAGTACAGCCTAGTGGGGAATAAGAAATGATTGGCCTGAGTGCCCTCCCTCAATGTAGGTTTTATGTCCTCTGTTATTGAACAATTTATCCATCTCTTCTCTCTACAGCTAGTGGTGGTAGACAACAACCTAGCATATGTAGTTAGGCTTTAAGTGAGTCCAACATAAACAAAGAAAAAACAGTATTGATGGAATATAGGGTAAATGTAGAAGTCACAAGAGTTAATGTCTGAGTGACATAGAAGCAATCTATTTTTTTTTCTGCTGATTTCCTGGAAGTTTGATTGGTATATAATGGACAATAGATTGACCCAGTTATCTTGGTAGTCAGAGATGTGGTAATAGTGATACTATTACAGGGTTAAATTTTTGCAGTCTATTTATTCCTAGGATTCTTTTGGATGATATCCCATGAAAAGGTGAATTTTTATTTGGCTCACCACAACTGATCCAGTTCAGAAAAAAAATGAGATAAACTAGGCATCTGTATCAGAGGTAATCTAAGAGAAAATGGCTATTGAGATATACGTTTTTGATATAAAAATGTCTTTAGAAAGCCCCAAGGAATCTTTCATTTCTTCTGTATACCAGTAATATATTAGATTTTGGAAATATATTTCTATTGTTTAACTTTGGATTAAGAATGAATAACAATAAGAATTCTGGCTCTTAAAAGGGAATAGCTACACTATATTCCTTCTTCTTGATAGTCTGTAACCAATGTTAAAAGTATACAATTTCTTTGAAGGTCTAATAGAAAAGAAAAGAAAGATCTAGAGATAACCTTGTTTTAGGTTGCTTTGGTCAATAGCAGGCAAAGAAATAAAACACATAGACCTGTGTTTGCCAAACAATTCACCACTGTCATTTAAAAGATCCAGCAGTGTCCAAATTAAGAAGGGGGTCACCAACATTATCATCTGACACTTGTGTTTGCTGATAATACATTGTTCTGATTGCATGGACCCTAAGAAATTTGTAGTTTCATAGATCCATAATTATTCAAAAGTGTTTGATATAGCTATTCACATAATAAAAACCAAATGGACAAAGAACAGCTATTCACCAGATTATGATATGCAGTCGAAGACACAGCCTATACATCTTTTCCATTAGATCCTAAAAATGGGCAATGAGCTGGGCCCAAAATTCAACAGTAGCTTGAGAAGGTTGAATTTTGGAACACTATGAATTTCTTTCAAAATTAGTAAGCTTCTCCATGAAACAAAAGTCTATTTTTTAAAAATAACTACAAACTTCCCCTGCTATTATAGGGCTATTAGACATAGAACACTATGATCTCCAAAAAATTTAAACTGATAATCTAGCAAAGGGCAATAAAAAATCTGTGCTTGTCATGAACCAGCTGTGTTACACTACAAAAGAGTACTTGTGCAACAACAACAAAAAAATGTTTTACAAGATGTTACCAGGGAAATGTATGCTAGAAAAAGGGCAGGTGAGTGGTATAGAGGATATACTGCCAGACTTGGAATTAGGAAGACTTATCTTCCTGAGTTCAAATCTGGCCTCAGATATTTACTAGCTGTGTGACCCTGGGCAAGTCACTTAACCCTGTTTGCTTCAGTTTCATTATCTGTAAAATGAGCTGGAGAAAGAAATGGCATGCCACTCCAGTATCTTTGCCAAGAAAACTTCAAATGGGGTCATGAAGAGCCAGATACAACTTAAATGACTGAACAACAAAATGTTAGAAAAAGAATATGGGTTAGTCATGTGGAAAGCACAAGAAATAATATATAGAAAAGTGATGAAGGGCCCCAGCAGTGTGAACTTGTGGCCAGCATATGGGATATCATAAACAATAGGCATACAAGATGGGCAGGGAGAGTTGGGCGGAAAGAATATCCGCATAGACAAGATCACAGATCCATTTGAATATCTGAGTTATGATCAAATGGGGAAGATTTAAGTCTGCAATTTCCCATTTAATTATTGTCTTCATTTGAGGTATTAAATTGGGTTGCATTTCAGTAGCAACTGAGTGCTTCTTGTTCAGGACTGCTTATAGCCATCTGTTTGAAATGATTTTCAACATCTGTTTTGAGGAAGCAGTATTGCCTTTTTCCTACTTGATGCAGGTAATATTTGAAAACTATAAAAGCAGTACAGAATTGGAGTAAGCTATAAAACTCAAAGGGAATCAGTCTTCATAAAGACATATTTGAAAGCCTCAGGATTAGTAAAGTTTATAGCACACCCTTTCTTATCTCTTCCAAAGGGATTGAAGGTGATTTTGCAAACATATCTCATATGTTAAAAAAACATGACTATTTGGGAAAAAGTTAATTATGATCTATAAATGAACTCATATTCATTTTAGAAAGTTTCAAAAAGATTAACATTGGGCTAGTGAAATTTTTTTGTCTTTTATTAATAATCTTTTAAATTGAGGGAAAAAAATGAAAATAAATTAATCTACATATTCAAACTGCTGTTCATATCCCCAAACCCAAGCCCTTTAGATTGATGCTATGTACAAATTAAATGTGAACACCTTTAGCACATATAGTTTCTTGTTACAAATATAAAGTCTGGAGTGTTTTTGTTAAAGTTTTTGTAGTTTACTTAGTCAAGATAGTTAACTTTTAACTGATAGATGCCAAACAAAAAGTAAGAGCTTTATGACTTTTTCAAGAATGGGGAGGGGAGGAGGTTTTTGTTTGTTTTAAATCAAGAGACTAGACTTTTAAAAAATCTAATTTAATTAAATTAATCTCACATAATACAACATTGTATGCTGTTCCAAAACCAGTTAACTCAATTATTCTCAGGCAGATTATTTGCATTAAAATTTACTTGCTGCTAGTCCTATTTTTTTAAACATTTTTTAAAAGTTGTATCTCTGTTATTCTTGCAACTATTTTAACTACTCTATCACATACTTATGCTGTGGCTTCACTGTCTTTAACACATTATGAATTCTGAGAATATCAAAAAATTCATATTCATATACACATAAACACAGTTCCAGAAGCAATGTGAAATCAATTCTATTTACCAGCCTAAGTTTGGAGAAGTACATTACTACTAAGCTAGTTATTCAGTGTTCAACTCTTTGACCATGAAATCAAGAAAAATGCGAAATGGTTCTCAGTCCCATGTGGTCTCCTGGCAGCAAAACAAAAAAGAAGAAAGCTGATACTAAGAATCATGCAGCTTAAAAACCATAGAAGGAAAGAAAGAAGTTGCAACTGAGCTGAAGGCTCTCAAGAACTCCTTAGAGAGGGAGATAAATGAATTGGTAGGGTTGGTTCTTTTATACACTCAAAGACAAGAAACATTTTTGTGGAGCATTTGCTATTTTCTATTGCAAGTGCTTATGATCACTGTGTGCAAAAAAAAAAAAGCATGAAAACATACCAGTATTTATCATACAGCATAAAAAGGATCAAAAATGCTTCAAAAGAATTTGATTTTAAGAGCTCCTAAATCAAATAAACTACACTTTGTTTCTCAGTGACTTCCTTCTAAAGGTGGTAAAAGGTGAGGATGTTGAGAAATAAGTTGAAAAGCAAAGAATGGGATTAAGGAATGAGAGAAAGCAAAGACTTATAAACTACATAGAAGCCACATGCAGCTGAAACATCAATATTTTCTTTAAGAAAGGAATCAGTGGGCTCTGGAAACAGAGAGCAAGAGAGCTACAGCAAGAGAGAGAGAAAGAAAGAAATTGTATTTAGTTGGCCAGAAACGCTGTATTACTGATGTGGGAGTAATTTTTGAATCAACTGTCTATATACCATTTGGCCATTACCTATTAGATCAAAAATCAACATTAAAATAAAACTAGAAGAAATAATCACAGTGAGAAAAAAGCCACTGCATTCAATTGAAAAACAATATGTGCCTCATCTATTCAAATTATTATTGATAATGAAAAACAAGTAACAAATATTAGAAAGAATATCCACATGACATATTTTCATACAAGAATTAACTGATGTAAATTAACTATCACAGCAATGTCAAAAGAACCTAAAAACATCTTTGTTAGTAAATATTTGACTTTCTTACCAAACAGACAAAGATAGTTGCCAAGTCCAATACCAGTTTGGTATAAAAACTTGTAAAGGATAATAGAAAATTATGGGCAAAATATCTGGTAAAGTACAGAGAAGGAGTGTAGGGTATAGCCAAATAAAATGGGCCTGAGGATAAAAAAAGGAGGATAATTAATCAGTAATAATATATTAAGTCCCTACTATGTGCTAGACACTATGCAAAATGCTGTGGATAAAAAAAGAAAGAGAGAGAGAGAGAGTCTCTGCTGTCAAGGAACTTACATTCTATCTAGAGAAAAATATGGGCAATGAAAATATATGCAAAATATGTATAAAACAAATATCAGATAATTTTAATGAGAAGCACTAGCAACTAGGAGGAGAAAAGCTGATTTCCAGAAATATCTCTTGTAGGAGATGAAATTTTAGCTAAGTATGAAGTCAACTGAAGATTCTAAAATGAGAGAAGAAAAATGGAAAAGATTGCCAAAGATTTTTATAACAAGCTTTTTCACCATCAAGGACTGTGAAACTATCACATGTGGGCTCTAATGTCACCGACCCCAAAATTCACTTTTGAGATTTTGTTCAGTTGTTTAGGTCATTTCCAACTTTTCATGACCCCATTTGGGGTTTTCTTGGCAAATATACTGGGGTGGTTTGCTACTTCCTTCTCCAGCTCATTTTACAGATGAAGAAACTAAGGCAAGCAGTGACTTGCCCATGGTTGCAGAGTTAGTAATTGCCTTAAACCAGATTTGAACTCAGGAAGATAAGTCTTCCTGACCCTAGGCCTGAAAATTCTACTCACTGTGTCATCTACCTGCCCATAAAAATGCATTAGAGAGAATCAGTTGGAGCAGTGATCAGACTAGACCTGGTGTACATAAAAGAAGAGAACATACATTTCTAATGAAGATATGTTTGAGAAAATGTAGAGGGATTGATTCAGATTGTTTCTCATGGATGAGAAGATACTAAATATCTTAGATCTCATTGAAACCAAGAGTCAACCTAGAGCTCAATTGCTGATGTATATGCTTACTTTCCCATTAAATTTTATAAGAATCATCTACATATGCATCAAAGACATTCTCAAAGCAGTATTCCCCATTGAATCTTTACCATCACACAGCTCAGTGGAACATAAGACACCACTGTGTTATTTATATTTTTTAAATGATTCAGGAAAGCAACTCACAAATTTAAAGATGCTTATGCAATGAGCCCCACCCCTTCCAACTTTTATCCATATATCAAAATCATTCATGATTCCTTGAAAAATATAACATTTCCAATGACTTGATCATAACTGTCAGTTAAGGTATTAGCTAAGGAGATATATGCTTAGCAAAGGTGTGTACCACTGTGATGAAGGAGATCTAGCAGAGAGTTAGGTAAAAGAGGAATTTCCTAAGTATAACAAGGTCCTCTAGACATTCCAGATGATATGGCTGATTTCTTTAAAGAGATATATAACTACTTAAAATAGTTTGAAATGGCCATCTATTCAGGAAAAAACAAATGAATATTAAATGTTTTTTATCGAGATTATGACATGCAAGTGAATGAATGCAGTAGGATGCCAGACTCCCTCCCACTTCCCCTATATACACTGCAAAGTTCTTGCTGGTAAAAAAATCTAGTTCAACATCTCAAAAGGTATTGAAGCCATCTTGGATTCTTAATTGACTCAGAGCACTAAAGAGTTAGGCTACTGGTATCACTTTCTGGTCATTTAAGGGCAAAAAACCACAAGGAACACCAGCCATTCTCTGAAACTTGGCTAGCAGACCACCATGGGCAACTCAGGGAGGTAAGCCACACTCAGCTAAAATCATTGGTGCTGTCTTTCATGCAATCATTGTTTAATATTCCAGCTATTCAATTCTAATCTTCAAATAACTGAAAATTCATTGAAAATTAATTACAAGGCAATTGAAAGGCTCATGGTGGTTGTGAGTGAGCTTATACACACACACACACACACACACACACACACACACACATACACACAGACACATACATACACACATGTATGGAACTTTTTTTTTTCAAAGGTGTAAAGAAATGTCATCAATGAAATGTATGATCAAAAGAGATGAACTTGTAGGATAGAACCAATATCTACCAGGGCTCCTCCTCTCTACCTCTAAAATGGGTTAAGAAAAGGGACAAAGCCAAAAAATTAATTGGCCCAGAAGGAGTGCAAAACTCAAGTTTTGCCCCATTTGATGAAGATTTCTGGTGATTTCTGGCTGTGTTCTGGTTCACATAGGGGAATTAAAAGTCCCATTCACATAGGGTCAGCACCCCTCCTGCTTTGTGGATGTCGGAAAACCAGATGAGTCTTCATATCTTACCCTGCTGATCATACATATTTCCATATGGCTACGAGAGGCTCCTGGTCTGTAAAAGTTAAGGGCTACTCTAT